TTTAATTCTCTGCTGGGATGCAAACTGCACGGCCTAAATTTGAGACCAGCAATCAGTTTATTGTCCCGGGCTTTACTGTTATGAGGTGAGATGCTATGAGCTCAAGTTGTGTGCAAGTTTGTGATGGTTTACATTTAACTTGGCTGGTAATAAAAAGCAGAGTCACAGAACTACAGTAATTAGTTAGAATTAGAATGTGCAGTATTACATAATGTTGCATGATTGTACGGTTTAACAATTCAAATATGACAGATTGATTTAGAAAGCACCTTTTATCAGGAATATTTGGTTAAAGAACTAAGTATTGTTTTACTAAAAACAGAAATCCTTCAGAATTCAATTATCTTAGTATCCCAGTCTTGATTAGCACATGAGAGATTCTCATTATGTTTATTTTGTTACATTTCATGCCAAAGGTAAGAATTGTCTCCGTCTTTGTGGAGCCGGTAAAATCTCTTCATCTTTAAAAGTGACTCTTTAGGGCCTGTTTAAGTTGAGCTGACAGATGTGGTTATTTGGGGACAGCTCATTGGCAAGTTTATGGCCAGAGTGCTTATTTTACTGGAGCCGAGCACATGTGCTTGTGACAGTGACGGAAATCCTTTCGGAAGTCTGGCATACGGTTGAAATATAGGAGACTTAAGAGGACATAAAACCCGCCTGATGTTTATCACCAAGAAAATCTCAGGGAGTTTTGTCCCAAAACACAAGATGATAACATTTGACTCAAACAGTGTTCATCTTTAAAAAATACTGTTTTAAATTTAGCATGTTTTCGTGAGTCTCCAAAAATGTGTACTATCCTTAAATGTTAAGATGAGATGCTCAGCATTCATGCAATAATTTATTTAAAGTAGTAAATGGGTCTTATTGAATTTCTCAATATTTATTTTTCAGAGGAACTTAAGTAATTTAATGAACACATAAAGTTATTATATTAAGAAAACCCCACACACACACTACAGGCAGTGATCTGGTCAACATAGGGGAGGAGGTCGGGACTTAAAGTCTCACATAGGAAGCAAAAAACAGTATTGGGTTGTGTGTGTGTGTGTGTGTGTGTGTGTGTGTGTGTGTGTGTGTGTGTGTGTGTGTGTGTGTGTGTGTGTGTGTGCGTGCGTATGTGTGTGTGTGTGTGTGTTGGTCTACATCTGACACACCCCCAGCCACCTGTAAAGACTCTGAGGATCAGGTTTCTTTTGAACACATTTAAGACGACATTTGTTTCCAATAGTTTACAGTTTGTGAAAACGCCTGTTCCGGAAGGCTGGACGGGTTTGGTTTTGCAGGGCGGCGTTTTATGAAGCTCCCGTGGGGCTGCAGGACGGACGAGGGAGAAGCAGTGCGTGCCTTTTAAGAGCCCCTGACGGGTTTAGTGAGCCACTTGGCTTTTTATTTTGGCTCAGCTCACTGCAGGCTGCTTGTACTTTACTGTGCCCCCTCTGTGCTGGCCTGGTGGTTGCAGATTAAGGACATGCAGAGCAAGGCCCACTCATTACACCGGTGTACACATGCTTATTATGTGTGGTGTTTACTCTGTGTGTGTGTGTGTGTGTGTGTGTGTGTGTGTGTGTATGTGTGTGTGTGGCCTAGCATTACTATACTTGTGGGGACCTAAATCTGTCACGTGTGGAGACTCGCCTCCCTTATGGGGACAAATTGGAGGTCCCCATGAGGGGAATCATTAATTTTAGGGTGAAGACTTGGTTAGGTTTAGGATTAGGGTTAGGGTTAGGGTTAAGGGTAAGGGTTAGGCATGTGTTGGTTATGGTTAAGGTTAGGATAAGTCTCCAGAAATGCATGTAAGTCAATGTAATGTCCCCTGAAGTGATGTATACATGGTTGGTGTGTGTGTGTGTGTGTGTGTGTGTGTGTGTGTGTGCGCGCGCGCTTCCACATATGTCAGGGAAAATGCTGCAGAGTGACGCCAGTTGCTGCATGCTGGGTGTAGCTTCCAACTGATAAATGACTGCAGGGACCGTCTTTCTTTGCCTGAACCTCACATCATTTTCCCTGGAGAGCAGCTGCTGACAAATATTCTAACCTGAAAACCGAAAAGGACTACAAGACAACTGTTTCATTCTAAATATGAGTTTAACCTGTTTAAAGTTATTCAAGTTCAAACAATAGCAGCTTTCAAATGATGAACAGGACTGTGCTGCTGTTCCCGCTTGTGTTTGGAGACTGTCCCTGGTGATTCTTCTCTCCCAGCAAACTAATATGTTTGAAGCTCAGACTGCCATTGCCAAGCCTGCGCCACAAGCTATTTCAAATGTGCAAAAAAATATTGATATTCCAGGCTTCTAAAAACAAAACAAACAAAAACAAAAAAAATCCAAGTCAATGTCCTCTGGAACGGCCCCATTTTTCTGCCTCAGAACACTCAGAGATCACCTGGGACAAATGATTATTCTGCTGCTTCTTCAATGCTCTTTCTTTAACTTACACACAAACACACCATGCTTATACTTAAAGTCGTGTTCTATTTAAAGAGTGAGTGCAGGTCTTCTTCAATCTTTTTTAAGTTAAGGTGTGAGCGCCAACAAATTCAAAGAGCGAGGCTGAGAGACTCTAGCAACAGAGATTGGTTTCACATTTTCACTTGGTTAACTATGTCCTCTGTACAAAACCTTGATATTCCGTGATGTATGGAAACCATGTTCCCAATTCACATTTTTCTTTGACTTGACATTCTCAAATATATAAAAACATGGTTGAATGAATCTAAAAAAACTAGGTTGAGACTTAGGAATGTTTATCACTTATAAGTAAGTGATAGCACATGAAATGGGCCGTGTTCAGATACAAAATGTTCAGTTTCAGTTCTGGTATTGCTTGATTGCTTTAAGTTTGGCCACTCCTTCGCAAATTATTCGAGTATGAGATTGAGTATAATCAAAGCTCCAGAGCACTTTTATATTTTTTAAACAGGACCCAGGAGTGAAAGCAAACTGCAATGAAGACTTTTCACCACAAGATGGACTTAGGGATGCATGGGTTTGGATGTATGGCAAACAGCAGGAAAAAACTGCAGGCTCGGGAAATGTTTTTTTGTATCACTATACCGAAAATGCAGAGCCAATTTCCAGCTGTGTATAAATATCTCCCCATGCTCTGAAGCAGAGGAGTAAGGCCATAGATGCTGGGGAGCGCCAAACAACGTGTGTATTAATTCCCGATATTTACTTTTGTTTGTTTTCACTGTGTTCAGGGCACCATGAGAGCAATTTTTGCTGTGATGAATAACAGTCCCTGTGGAGTTCATTACAGGGAAAGAGCCAGTGCTCCCTACCCAGAGGGATTGGTTAGTGAGGGTGGGGGGAGTGGAGGAAACCTACAGAATGGGGTAAGGGGGGCGACTCGAGGGAGGCAATAAGGAAAGAAACCATAAACACTCAGCTAATGACCTCAAACACACTAACACTGTAGCAGAAATTAATGAAACTGTGCAAATTAAGACATTCACTCCAGGAGCAAATGGAAGAATATTTTCTCTTTTTGAAATGGGAGAAAAAGGGAGAAAAAAGTTTGGGAGAGAAGAGACAGCATCTGCAGGCTTCAATACTGCAGGCCTGAGAGCAGAGTGTCTCTTTGCACTCAATGCACTTTGGAGTTCACTACTTGAGTTAACTCTACATTTTATTTACTGTTTTTCAAAGTTATTGTTAGGCATGTTATGCACACTATTCTCACTCTATCTAAATTAGATTTTGTTCTGAAAAAGTCACCAAACCCTTCTGGAAAGAGCACTGAAGTTTTAAAGCAGCATTGCTTTTGCGAAACGTTTGTCTGAAATGTCACTAAATGGCATGTGCAGACAACACAGGAAGTCATGGTTTAATTGCAATGTTTATCCTAATATAGATGTTTTTTAACACAATTGAATTAGCACAAACTTTAACTAGAAAGAGGAAATACAGGCGTGTGATCTTGTCTTTGTTCCGACATCTAAGTGCGCTTGCGACCTAACCGCTGGTTCAGAAACTGTGGCTCTGACCTGAGATCATGGCTATGGCCAACTGTAAGTAACTGTATTTATTATTACTTATAAAAATGTAAGGTTTGGCATATATAGATAATACAATAAAAGTGTATTCTTGTAAAAGGTAGTGTCTATGATAGTTATGTTTTTATTTAGTGCAATACATTTTTTTTTTATTAGATCTGTTACAGTAGGCGGATATATAGATGGATCAATGGATGCGGAAAAAGATGTATGGCTGAACAATTTGGATAAAAACGTACTTACAACTTTTAATTAAATAGCTTTAATCAAGCTATTTAAAATATACACTTACTTGCCTCTTAAGGACACCTGGACAATGGCGGTTTAATACAACATGCCAAAACATCTACTTGTATGAAGTCTATAATGTTCAGTAATAACTCTCCTAATTAATGTCTAATATTCGGGATTAAACCCGGAGTCTCTCATATCATTGACCCTACAGCTGGAATAGAAGCCAGACACATAATTTGCATATTCACATAGTGACCATCAAAGAAATACTTAGAAAATAGCTTGGGAGAACTGCAGCGTCATTGCAGAAGTTGTGAAGATAAGACTGGTTTAACTTGACAGACGCTGAGTTGGAAAGCATGAGAGTTCAAAATTAGACATTTCTTTCTCTGCATTAAATAGAAGTACTCGTCTGCTGATTGATTATCCTCTATCCTGACAATACTTGATGACAAAACCCTAACTCCTGGTAATGGCAGGTCTCAAGATCCTGCTGCTCTGGGCTGGGATCATCGTTATGGCGGAGGGTAAGTAACCCTCTTCATGACAAACAGGCCTCTCTACCAATAAACAACACAATATATTGATTTAAGTATTTCAAAGATTCAAAAACCCTTATTAACATTTTGTTATTCGTTTTTCAAATCTCAATGTAATGTTTTCTCTAGTCACCTCAGCTCGATATCAGCAATGTGAGTATCAGTTTTTTCTTTTCATTTCAATTGGCTATTTAAGGTAGATTTATACATACATGTTTGGATTGTCAGGAGCACGTTAAACTTGAACAAAGACGCCTGCAGGTGTTTTTTATTTACTAGGAGATTTGATAACTTTTTAGTGTGTTCAAGTTTGGCTTTCCTGCAGAGGAAGTTGAAGTGTTGCTTTGTGAACTCTGCACATACACTCTGAAAATAATATCTATTTATTTGTTTACTGTGAATGTGTCCTTATTCTAATATTATCTAAACCCAACATGTTAGTACTCACAGGACATTAGGTTCGTTCGAGCTTTTATAGAAAGTCATCTTACTTGTGTTTTATCAGTAGAAGGCAAACTTAATGAGCATAGAAAACATCCTGAATTGGAACCCTTCACAAACTATCAGTACTGGTTCAAAAAACTACTGCTATTGAGTTTAGGATTGACTGCAGCATATGAATGAATACTTTAACTGAATGACAAGAAAGATAAAGATAACTACAGAGAAAAGAAGTGTGACAGATTTCACATGTATTTTCCAGTCTCCATCGAGAGGCCTCTCTACCAATAACCAACACAATATATTGATTTAAGTGTTTCAAAGATTCAAAAACCCTTATTAACATTGTGTTATTCGTTTTCAAAGTCACCACAGCTCGATATCAGGAATGTGAGCGTCAGTATTATTATTTTTTAAATTTAAATTGGCTATTACAAGTAGATTTATAGAAAATTAAAAGATGTTTGCATGCGGTCTTTTTAGTAACTAGGATTTTAAGGATGTGGCAGTGGCTCAATCTGTAGGGACTTGATCTTGGAACCGAAGGGTCGCCGGGTCACGCCCCAATCGGACCACACAAATAAATAAAAATGGAGCGAGCTGGTAGGTGGAGAGGTGCCAGTTCACCTCCTAGGCCCTATGGCACCTAACCTCGAAACTGCGTAAACTGGCAGCCTCTCTGCTCTGCCACCTCTCCTAGATTTTAGGGTGAACTCTACTGCTCTACCAAGCACCTCTCAACCCCAGCCTCAACCTCCACTCACCACTCCAACACTCACCTCAAACCCACCAATGCCTTCAACATATTCAACTAGTATATCTGGTAATGTATTCTGCCTCAGTTTACACTTTTATTGGAAACAGCGTTGAAATCAGCCTGACATTGCTGACATCTGGTAAGACTATTGGCAGAACATTTTGTAGGGTTCTAGCATGCTCTCCCTCTTACAGCCACTACTACTCCTCCTACAATCACCTCACCCTCACCCTCACCCACCAACGCATTAGACTTGCTGACAAGCACCTCTCAACCCCAGACTCAACCTCCAATCACCACGTCCAACACATCAGTGACTACTAACGCCAAAGGTTGGAACGTTTTCTCCTTAACAAGCCCGCCATTTGTTCTTCTATAAGACTCTGATATTACTGTGTTACTATTATGAATGTAGACTACAGCTACTAGCACTGCTAATGAGTGTGTTACGTTAGGTTAATAAAATACACACAGTTGCAAGAGTATTGATGTTGTCATAAGCATATATTAAAATGTTGTTGTTTCTTTTTCTGATCACTTTGAATGTGTTCTCCAGCCGAAGCTCAAGCCCCTCCACCTCTGGAGTGTGAGTATCAGTTTTTATTTTCAAGACATAATACAGGTCTTCTTCACACTCATCTTAACAAAAACGTTCAAAGATTATGTTTGTATTTCTCCATAGTGTAATCCTTGGCAATGAATGCTATTGCAGAAAGTAAAGTTCAGATTCCCCGGAGAACTTTCAACATCTACATGAACAAAGTGCCTGGGATTAAAGGATGTCACCAGGTTTTGTTTTTATTTTGTGTGCAGGTTCTTACACGGTCACAACCAGCAAGTCTGGCTTCAACATTACCATGAATGGGAACTTTACGACTGGCGACTACACCATCAACATCAAAGAAACGGGCCGACCAGATACTGGACACAACGATCCTGTTCAGTTCTCCAATGAAAGCTTAACACATGAAATCAAACACCTGAAGCCCTGCACTGAGTATGAGCATGATGTGGCATTTAATGATGCTGCTGGCAAAAAAACACCCTGCACCACGCAAACAAATACAACTGAGACAAACGAATGGAGTGAGTATTAATAATTGTTGAATATTATCTTCCTTTTTTAAATATAAGAAGAGACACTGACAGTTGTGTTTGTTCATTTTCACTTGTGTATTTCAGAAGAAGGTGATATTAAAGAAGGCAGCTGCATGCCTGGATATGTTTGTTACCGTAGTGACTGGGACATCAGCTCTTCACTATCAAAGTCACATAATATAATAATTTCAGCTGAAACGTGCAAAAGTGACAAAAATGGGATCTGTTTCAAACCTCGTTACATTGACATTTGCACCGATTTGACTACGACGTTCACTTCAGGAAACTAACGCCTTGAGCCTCACCAGAAGCATCACTGCTAGTATGTACAGTAGAGTCTTTGTTTGTTTAAAAATGCATGTGGTGTGAACTTTATTCATTATGTTTCATGTATGCATTCATTATGTTTCCTTCAACAGATTTCTTAAATCCAAGTGAAATAAATCAAACAAGTCCAACTAAACTTCCTGCAGAAATAAAAACAGATTTGCCTCCAAACTGCACGAATCTCCACATCACTTACAGCTGTCAGGGTAAGTGGAAAGACCAGAAATAAAGAGTCTGTCACCAACATTATGACTGGATTAACATGGAAATATTCTCATGAGATGATCACACTGTATTAAGACATACTGTTTTATCTTAAACTGAATCTCAATTGTTGTCTAGTGTATGAGGAAGTTGAGGTTTTGCTTCAACAATGACTTTGTTGATTGTGGGTGCAGGTTCTCACAGCCATCAGGTTTGGCTCGAGTGTATTGCACTCTGAGAATACACACTGTATATAATATCTATTTTGTTATTGTTGTGAATGTGTCCACATTTGAATCTTATCCAAACCCAACATGTAAGAGCTCACAGGGTTTTATTTAACATATTTTGAAGAAATGTTGTCAAACTTGTGTTTTTAGAAGTTGGAAAACCCAATGAGCTGAAGAATCTTACTGTCCTGGAGCCCTACACAGACTACAACTGCACCGGTCAGATCATGGAGAACTATGTCAACATAAAAAACACAACTGCTATCGAGTTCAGGATTGACTGTGGTACGTGAATAATCACCTTACCTCAGGGCAATGATAATAAAGATAACTATGGAGAAGAGAAGTGTTACTAATGTCTGATGTGTCCCTACAGATCTTACAATGAACATCACAGTGACAAGTGTCACCACCACCTCCATTGCTCTGAGTCGGACCACAGACAGTAAGAACTGTGCAGTTGTCCTTCCTGAACTTCAGAAGCTTTCTTATGAGTGCAGCTGTAAATCTACTCAATCATATGAGAAAAGTAAGTTCAAATATTTAGATTATCTATGTTATTGCTCAGTTGAACAGGCAAAAAGACATTTGAAGTGCTCCATGCTAACACTTTAGCATGCTGAGTGAAGGTAGGTGTTAGTCATAACCTGAGATGATAGAACAAATCAATGTTTCCTGAAGAATATTTATATAATGTTCATGAAATATTATACAAATATATAAATGTTGTTAATTTCCCAGTCTGTTTGCATAATTACACAATTTGAAAAGTTTAATTTAAGAGTGCATGGTTGGTGATCTACCAATGACGGATGTCACTGATTGACTGAATGATTTATTGATTGTTTGATTAATAGCAACAGGTATCTTAACCAACAAAACAATGTGCTGTTGTTTAATCCCAATGTTCTGTCTTTGCTTTCTCTATATTGAATCAAACAACTCATGTAGCTGTCGCTGACAAAAATCAATTCGGAGGAACATGTCAAATGTATGGACTGAAACCATACACCGAGTAGAACTGTGCAGTCCAACCCATATACAACAAAAACTATGTTCCTGCACCAACTCATGTAAAACAGAGGACAACGATTGGAGGTAAGTGTTTAAATGTCCCTTGGATCATATTTAGATCAAAGGTAATATAAACAAATATTTATTAAGGTTGTTTATTTCCTATGTTGTTGAAAGGTACGTTATAAAGTCACTCATTTCAATTTGGAACAATTTAATATAATCAATGATTTTAGAATGTTAAGTTATAGTAATTACTTTATAGTACTTAACATTTTTAATCACATTTCTTCCATTTAATATCATCATATCAATTATGTGAATGATCTTATTCTGTCTGTCTTTTTTTAACAAATGATATTAAATGCTCTGAATCAGAATATACATCATATATGTATACATATACATACATCATTGTTTTTCAGGCCATTATAATGAACATTACTCTGTAGTTAGTCATATGTGAAGAACAGTGTTTTTTATTGTATTGTGTTTTTCTATAACTCTACTGACTTGAGTCTGTTCTGACCCAACTAAGGATTTAACAAATGAATCAACTTTAACATGATGTACATGTTACATTTACGTGTCACCTACTACAGTATGTGGCTGCCTATCATATATCATTTCATAACTCATTGTTATTTCCTTTAAAAATTACATTTCCATTTCATAAATGTGATGCATGTGGAGTACAACCTGCAGACTTCCCCCAACACAGGGGTGTCAGATAAATGAAATAGCAACAATTAAATCATAACATCATAAAATATTAAAGAATAAACACTTTTTACATTGAATTTATAATGATACATATTTTCAATGCAACTCTCTTTGATTTGCAGTTTGTATTTATATCCCTACTGACAACCATTCATCCAATGCAGCAACACACTGATGAAAATCATTGTTTAAAATGCTGTTTAAACAAATTGAAATATCACTTAAATTATGTTTTTTTATAGTGCCAGGAGAAATTAAGACCCTGGTCTGGAATCTTCTAGAGCATAACGTGATTCACGCAACCTGTGATTCTCCAACTGATTTTAATGGACCTAGGAAGGGTTACATCGCACGTCTTTATAGTGGTGGTGATGTCCTGATTAAGACTCTGAACCAAACCGCATGCAAGTTTGAATTCAAAGCTTTAAGCTACTCAACCGAATATGAACTGAATGTGTGTATGAGCCAAACCTTTGGTTTCCAAACACTATTAAAACTTTATTCCTCATATTTCTTCAAATGCTATATTTCCTGATGAGATCTCCTGTGTTTCCAGGTGACTGCTTCCAATGGACAAAACGAGCATCTGTCACCACTTCCTGTTTGTGGTGTTTTAATTCATGCCAACAATTGTTAATTAACTAAGTCATTTTGACACTTGTAGACTCTCTCTTTTCATTCATTGTATTTAACTCTTATGTCACAGACAATGACAAAGCTGTCATAGTTAGTCTGGTCTTCTTCATCATGGCATCTGTGGCCTTCGCCGTGGTGCTCTATAAGATCTACACTCTGAGGCTCAGAAAGTCCAGGAAGTAAATACTTACTTAGTTCTTACCCCGACTCTATCAGTTTGACTTTTACATTCTCTCTGGTTTGTTTTACAGTTGTTTAAGTTTGATATTATTACTATTATTTACAGTAAAGAATGAGATGACATTTTTAAATGATATTTATTAAGTTTTATCTCGTCTTTTTTAGGCAGAGGTAACACATTACATATATAAAAGCTAACTGTTTAATACATTATTGAATATTATAATATGTTATATTCTATATAAATGTTTTTACATAAAGCTAATCTGAGCTTTTTTCTTCACACCGATGCAGATGTGGAGGAAAATGCTGTGATTGAACTAACAGAAAGTGAGTAGAATAGTTTTATTTTTACTATCATTTTGTTTGAAGTAGCAGAAATCCCTGTAACATTTTATATTACATTTGACATATATAAACTATTAAGTAAGTTATTTTTATTACTAATTATAAAGCACATATAGCTTTAGTAGTATATACTGCCTTATTTTACTTGACTATATTCTACAACTAATAGGCCATCTTGTAGTTTTAAAGTATGACCATATATCTTTGTGAAGTGTGTGTTAAGTGCACTGTATTTTGATGATATAACATTAAGTTGCACAATTTTCCTTCTATTTCCCTGCTGTAGTTTATGCTAATGTGCCTCAATCTGAATGCCGCCGTAGAGACTCAACCTGATGAAGGCCTGATGGAGCTGCCAACCAAATCATCATTTACTCATGTGACGTAGCTGTATACAGCCTATAGAAATACTTGTAATCTGCTTACACTGGCAATGGTGTTTTTATGTTTTAGTCGTTTTGGGTTGTTATGCTTTAATGTGTGCATTGTAACAAGTGGAACATTTAAGTTTTGTATTCAAATGCTCTTATATGATTATAACCGGTTTTATTGTTCTGTTGAGATTACATCACATTGTCCTTTTATATTTACATCCTTGCCAGACGACACCACCTAAAGAGAGGGAAATGAATAGCAAGTTGTTAAGTCTTGCAGATGCAGACAGGTTGATATGTACAGCAGCTAAAGGTATTGGTGGTGTGTTAACTCTTTTGTTACAGCTGCCGTTTTTCACATGTGTGTATATGATGTATTACCTCTCATTTGTATGACCAATAATTACTGAAAAAGCAAAAAAATCAAATAGTAGTGCGCTTGTAACCATAAAACATCACATTTAATGTTTTCTTTTTCTTTAAGAAGTTATTACTATTTAAGAATCAATAATTAAACCAATATACACTTTTGGTATTGGTAACAGTAAGGAAATGATTATAACATTCCAACCAAATTGGCCCTAATCTGAAAAGATGCCAAGCTAATTCCATGTAGCCATTGGTATCCAATAGTCCATTGTGCTATGAGTGGTGGTGTATTTAGGCCATTTTTTTGTTACAACATGACAGGAAATACCACATCACACATTTACTTGAGGAGTTCAGACAAAACCTACAATCATACATTTTTATGTTGTGTTAAAAAAAGAAAATGAAGTTATATAAATAATATACTTACCATTAAGCTGGTTTCACTTGCCAGTTGTCGATCAGAGGAAAACGCCCTCTTGCTGTAAATTCAGGAATCATGATACATGTCCCCCTTTCAAAGTTCAGTCCTTTAATAAATGACTAATCTGGTGCAGGTCTTCAGGTGTGAAACAGTAATTGCTGTATTTCTTGTTGATCAAATGTTCGGATGTGAAACTCATTGAAACCTGTCAAGCTCCAAACACTCACTCTAATGTCCAAAATGAATTTGAAAGCTTTATTGCATTTAGTTAGCATACAAGGCATTTGTGATAAGGGTCTTTAATTTCACATAACATGTTCTGAAAAGAAAAAAAAACAACACAATAAATATTATTTGCAATATTTGACTTTCTGGAAACCCCCCTAGACTCTTCAATCTCAACTTCAGAGGGTTGTGGAAAGGAAACTGAGTCGAAGTAAAAGGCGAGGACACAGGAGAGCACTGTATGTGACATGAAGGCTAAAATGCTCACTACCAAGAAAGGGACGTAACCATTAAAGTGACTTAGCACTGTGTGTTATAAACCTGCTAGTGAGGATTTCTTTTTTAAAAGCAAGGCATTTTGTTCAATATACAGTATATTACATCTTTTATAACAGACTGGTACTTGCATTGGATGCAACTATCAGGCCGATATAAAAGCATTTAGCATCAAAACTCAATTTGCTAAAATACTTTGGTGCCATAGAAATGCTTTTGTTTAGAGAACTAAAGATATAATTAAAAGAACTTTGGGTGAACACAATGACAAATATTAGCTAATAAAGATTAAAAACTGAAATGGAGGGGAGAGTGAGAAAGCAATGGTAAACAAAAACTGCATCTGCAAGTCCCAAGGAAATATCTGCGATCAAAAACACAATCACAATAATGTGTCCACTGAGACAAAATTATATCTTCTCATCTATAAGCTTTGATTTTCTACTATTTACTATTTCATGTTAATGAAAAAACATGATCAAACATGGGCATACAAGTACAATCATTTCAATGAGCGGCTATTTAATGATAGAAGATAATTCATAAGCGACCGAAATTAAGCGTTATTAACCGTTGCTTATTTGCTATAACTTTCGTGTGGTATTTTTGTTACTATGTAAACTGGTGGTGTTCAGTGCTGGTCATTTGTGACCTACTGGAGTAAACCTATTAACTGTTACAAACTAATTAAAACAAACATACCCCTGTATCCTTCCTCCAAATGAATAAAGGGTTATTAAACCTTACAGTATTACATCTATAGGAACTTCTTTACTATGTACAGTAAAACAATGTGAGTCCCATGGTGTTTGTATTTTCAGGACAACTCCTTGATATACTTCCCATGAATAACACCAAACACATGTAGAAAGTGCTCTGTCTATGTGACTTTGTCTTTGGTATCCCTACTGGAGGATAAGATAGGTAGGCACGCTGTGATTTACTCATGACATGGACGGCTACACAAGGATCTGCTCTCTCTTCAACACATGTGTTACTTAACAAGACAACTACACTGCAAACGTACACAGCAACCTAAACAATCACAACATTTTGTCCACAAATGCAGCCGCTGGACAATGATGGAGAACTATGTGTTTTGACTTCCCATGTCTTTATTGTGATTTAAAAAATATATTTTGCTCGAGTTGAACCAAGGAGGGAATCTTTTGGTGTCAGTGACTAAGGTAAACAGCAGATGTAAAGCTGCTTTTCTTTCAGCTTCTCGACTCCTTCTAGGCTGTCAAAAAAGAGACATTCTGAATTTTTCAAAGACAATACATAGATGTCAAATGACTTACATTCAAAGTGTTGTGGAGACATTTGCCCATGTTTTCCCCCCCGGCACGTCTCTAGTCTACCCTCTAAATGATCCTTCCTTTCCGAATACAGTCAATAGACATGATCACCCTGCCCTCCCTTCAGTACCAGGATAAAGTGCAACACAACACCGCCTCTACCACCAATAACACTTTGTTACGTCTCTCAGTTCTGCTGCCCTCGAGTGGAACACTTTTTAAAAAAGTGTTCATGTCTTTTTCGTGCGAATTGCATAGGTCTCAACTAGTAAACCGTTAATGGTCATTTTTCTTTTTTTTCCTGATCCATGATTAACTGTTTTGTGGATAGGTAACAGCTAACTTTTTTATTTTCTTCTTATAATCTTTTTTCAGTATATCTGCTTTAAACACAATATGCTTCTATCAGCTGCTGAAGAACACCATCACTTCAATACATGAATATACAGAGGAAATGCATTTTAAAGCTATAGCACATCAGTGAGTTACAATACGCTGATTTTCAGTGCTGTATCATTATTGAAGTCTGAGGAATGGGAGGTCCATCTGACAAGAAGTATAATCTCTATAATCTTTATCCTAAGGCAGAAAGGTTTGGGTGTCAGTTATATAATGGACTGTACCTCCACCTTTACAATAATGATGTTGCTTCTTATCACAAGGAGCTAAACTCTGGAGTTATTGTATAAAAGCCAATAGATTTTTTCGAGTCCAGCATGAAAAGCAAGAAGGGAAGTGGGGAGGAGTTCTGCGAGCTATATGCGTGTCACTCTGGGTTTAGCTGCCCTGTGTCATGTTCTGCATGTGTTTGGCAATGTCGTACACGTAGGTGATGTCCGGCCTCTTCTCAGGGTCAGGGTTGATGCACATATCTACCAAGTTCCTCAGCTGGTGAGAGAGACAGGGGGGTGTGGGTGGGGGGTAAACAGAGAAATTAAACAATCAATAAAACTGTAGTGTGAGCAAACTGTAAAAGAGCAGCTTGAGAAATGAACAAACCGTCGCTAACGGAGACCTGCTCGTCTCTCTGTGCCCTCTAGATGAGCTCATTTCATAAAAGCAATAACAAGGCCACAGGTAATCGAGCTGAGACAAAGACGCAGAGCTGTGTTAGTGCACTAATCTTCGATTGGTCTGAATCCACATTTACCCCAGCCCCACAAGTACACACAGACACACTAACGCACACACTGCTGCCACTCCATTGCCATCCGGAGACAGCACTTACACTTGAAGCCGAGCGAAGCGGCTGATTGGAGCAGATAGATAGACAGGCTCGCAGGCGGAACAGCCACCGCCATCATTAAAAAAAGAGAAGAGAATAAAAGATTGAGAGGAAAGAAGAAAAAAAGATAACATCTACGCGAGGTCGCTATGGTAACCGTCTGTCGACATCCTGGCCGCTGTTGCGTGGCACCGGCTTGGACGAGTTCTCGTCAGCCGCTGTGTTTATGTGTGTGTGTGTGTGTGTGTGTGTGTGTGTGTGTGTGTGTGTGTGTGTGTGTGTGTGTGTGTGAGAAAGAGAAAGTGGGAGAAAGATGCAAATTCAGACAGTCTGAGAATTAGTCCCACAGAATGGAGATGGAGAGAGGGGGGGGGGGAGATGCAGATATGTAAAATATTCATGCGCTTCTTTGCATGGCGAGTGGGATGGGGGAGTGGGGGAGAGTGTCAGGTGGAGGGGGGGAGTGGGAGCTGGTGAAGGGAGGCGTGGGGGGGAAGCATAGACGGAGATGGTTAAATGACACAACAAAGATGAGCAGCTGACAGTTTGCTGCCGATCCTTCAGGAGCATTGTTTACATCCAGACAGGCGCTGCAGGCACCCCCCTCATCTCCATCTCTCCATCGCCCTGTCTCTCGCTCTATCATTCCCTCTCTCTTTCGCTTTGTCTCCCTTTCTCCTGGATGGGGTGACATGTGGGGCAACGCAGAAGCTCAGCGTGGTGTGTGAGAGAGAGAGCTCTTGTTGCAAAATATACACTTGCACAATTGCTCATGCACAAACAAAAACTCCGTCATAGAGACTACAGAGGCTTCAGACACCTCGCAATTAGTCTTTATCATCCTGATGAAGTCAATGCCACAGTATAATAAAGCCTCTTAATAGGGTTTATTATTTAACATGAATTAGGAGAACCACTTAAACTAGCTGTGCACAAATACTGAGATAGTACGAGAGCATGGAGGGCAAATAAGTTGCACCTTTTTAGAAGACATTTAACATGTAGGAATGTAAAGGCATCTTAATACTGGTATGTCATGAGTCAATTAATCAATTTGTTGATTGACTGAAAATGATTTTGTTAAATCCTGAATGAATAAATGAATCCATGGATTAGTTAAAGTAGAAAATGTAAAATACTTGCTGGACTTCAGGCTCTCAAATGTCACCCTGTGCTGTGTGTATCTTCCAGTTTGGACTTCCAGTTATAATTAGAGACAAAAACAACTATACAAAGGGATCTTATCTGGACTATTTTCTGACATTTCATAGACTGAATAAATCATCAACTTATCAAAAAGTATTGGACATACTAATCAATAATGAGATTAAGTTTAAATTGCAATGTCACCTAAAGTAGGAAGGCTGAAACAATGAAAAACACAGGTATTTATTGTTAATTATTATAACTCACAAAGCTGTAGTGCGCCCATTCCAAAGCACAGTGTCACTGGTGAATGAAGGTAATGCCTGCAGTGTATGTGCGTGTGTGCCTATGAGTCAGTGTCTACGTTTTTTGCATGTGTCTACAATTTACTTAATATATTTAAGAGAAAAGGACAGAAATGTTAGGGAAAAAATGCCACCCACATAAAGAGGGCATGCAAACACAAAGCCATGCGCATTCATACACACGTCAGCGGCAATCAGCAATAAGGAGATCTTTGACCGCAGCCCGACTACATTACAAGTCTACGCAGAACTACAGCAGATGATTTAACATTTAGTTAGGGAAACATGACACTGTAGCCCATTCAGCTTCACCCCACTTTGTAGCATGGCCAGATGCTTTTGATATGTGCATTTCATTTTTCAAACGGTTAAAATCATAGCCGGTCTTTTGATCACAGAGCAATATCATACTGAACTGTAGCTCAGACAGTTGGGTGGATTTCACTCGCATATAAAAAAAAAAGTACTTTAATAGTCAACACAAGTCAAAATCAGCGAACTGGCACAGAGAAAGAGAAACCGGCTACCACTGCTTTACACAGTACTTCACCTAAAAGATATTAAGAATGTTCTAAAAGTTTCTTTTAAGAAGGAGTTTAGGAATGGAAGTCCTTTTACAACACTGAGCAGGTCTGTATCTACCTATGACAGCAGTGAATGGCAGCTGGCACAGTACTTAC